ACCTATCAGTAGAATCTTAATACTACTCAATTCTAAAGAAGGATAAACTCGAGACTTTTCTAGGTAAATGGTTACAACTTCAGACTGACCATACTCATAAGTGAAATAAAACAGACTCACATGTGTAAATATAGTATTGTCTCCCTAGAGTAAGAAACTGACAGAGTAAATAAGACCCAAATTGTATGATAGAGGGGCCGGGGAGATGGCTCAGTAGAGTAAGTGCTTCCCTGGCAAGCACAAGGGCCTGAGTTCAATCCCCGGTTCCACCAAAAAAAAAAAAAAAACCCAAATTGTATGATAGATATTGTGAAAAGGAAAGAACAACTGGAATAGGGGAATGGAGAAAAGAAGGAAGGGAAAAGGAAAAAAAAAATATATATATATATGCAAGCTATCCAAAATAATTATATTACTAATTTCTATTATTTCATTAAAAAGAACAGCCTATACTTATATTGTTTGATCAGTTTTTTACTCCTATATCTTGTAATCTGAGTAATTACTTTGAAGATAAAAATATACATTATATTAAAAAAGAAGAATCTTAAAACTAATAAGAACATTTAGCAAAGTGGAGGATACAACATAAATTGCATTCCTATACACCAAGAAGAAGCCCAATGAGAAAGAAATCAGGAAAACAGTAACTATCACGAGAGACCAAAGGGATACCTAGGAACTGACTAAGAAAGTGAAAGACTAAGACAATGAAAGATACACCGCTCTTAAAAAGAGACTGAAGGGGACACTAGAAATTGGAAAGACACCCTCTGTTCTTGGGTGGCTGGCAATACAGGCAGAACTAATGTTGTCAAAATGGCCGTGTACCAAATATCATACATAGATTTAATTGACTTCAAATAAAATACTGACAGATTTTTTTTTTTTACTGAACTAGAAAAAGTAATTCTAAGATTTATATAGAACCAGAGGAGACCCAGATAAGCAATAAAGACAAGGCAGGAAGCATTCCAACACCAACTTTGAAGTTGTAAGCTACAAAGTTAGGGCTGGCGAGATAGCTCAGTGGACTAAGTGCCTACTTAGGCAAGCACAGGGACTGGGGTTCCATCCCCAGTGTTACATGCTGCACAAACCCTGCCCCCAGGCATGCTGAGCTGGCCACTGAGTTGGGGCATGGTGGTGAAAGCCTGTAATCCCAGCACTGAGGAGGCCAAAAACAGGAGGATCACTATAAGTCCGAGCTGCATAGTGAGACCCTGTACCAAATATAAGTTGCAAAGCCACAGTTCTAAATAAAACATAGGTTGGGCACGGTGGTACACACCTGTGATCCCAGCCTGTGATCCCAGCACTTGGGAGCCTGAGGCAGGAGGACTGTCACAAGTATGAGCTGGGAAGGCTTAGTGCCACACCAGTCACCCTGGGTCTTAATGCCACCATAGGAAATATGGGCCATGTACACTGCTGAGGAGCTTGTGCTGGGCTGGGGAAGGGAGAGACTGTATGCACTGGTGGTGGTGTTGGGAGTAGGTGCCCACACCAGGGATCCACACAGCAGAGACACAGCTGAACCTGGGGAAGGCAAGGGCCTCCCCTGGGCTGGGACGTGTAAGGGGCTCACAGCTAAGGCACAGCAGGTGGGTGGGGATATAGCAGTTCACCAGGCTCCTTGGGGCAGGACAGGCATGAGGTACACAGAGATGGCCCCACTTGGGGCCTAGACTGGTAGCTGGACCACCCAGGACAAGGACAGGACAGAGTGGGAAGGAGCTGTGGAAAATGGCACTCAGGTCTTTGGCTCCCTGAGAACTTAAGAGTCACTGGTGTCTGGGCAGAGGGGAGGGCCCAGGCCACACGCACATATGAGCACATGTGGGCAGGAGCAGGCAGGCAGAGCGGAAGGCCAGGTGCACTCTGTCAGCATTTAATAAATATAGAATTCAACAAGGACAGGGAAGGGACAGGCTGAGTGGCTGCTGAGCCCTGCTCTAGGCCACATAGTGGGACAGATCCATGACGTCTTCTAAAAAGCTCAGGTAGAACCTGCGACACATGTCATCTGGGTCCTTCTGGAGGGCATCAAAATCTGCAGTGGAGACAATGTTCTGAGTGCATGGCCATCGAGCCTGGGGTACCTTCTGGGGATACAGCCTGGCTCCAGATCCCAGTGCGGAGGGCCAGATCACAGTGTGAAAGGGAAAGGGGAGGGCCCACCCTCAGCCAGGGGGATCCTAGGAGTGTTGGAAAGAGGCTCCCCTTTGTGCCACTGGCCCAGCTCACACTTCTTGAGGATTACTGTGTCAGTCTTCTTCAGGTAGAAGCAGAGGTCCAGGAAGTAGTCCTGCAGCATGCCCCCTGGAATTCAGGTGGGGCTGGTACCTCCCGCCTCGGAGGGTGCTGACCACAGCATTGTGTGGCCTCTCATAGGGACAGAAGGGCATCATCCCCCATGCAGGCTGGGGGAGGAGTGAGGAAGATATGGCAAGGACTAGGGGGGAAAGGTGGCCAGGGCAGTGCCTACCAATGAACTTCATAGCCGCCAGCTTGAGGTTCCTGTAAGGGCTGCACAGGTAGGTCAGGGCCTGCATGAAAAGCTGGTGGTGCCTACCAAAGTTGCTCTCCACCTGGGGGACAGGAGGTGGTCTCTGTAATATGCTTCAACCCAAGGCCTCCAGCAGTGGTCTCAGCACCCCTGCCCCACGACCTAGGCCAGGAAGTAAAGAGGACAGTTGCCCAAGACTGGGCCCAGAGCTCTGCAGGTCCAGCTTCCCTACTCACCTCCATCCGGGATACGGCGCGGGGAAGGGGATGTGTTAAACCAACCAGACCAGCCGTGTCTGTCACCTCTTCCAAACCTCACCCTGGACTCCCTCCACTATCCCCCAGCTCACCCCCAGCCTGGTTCCCATCCCACCCCACTGTAGCACTGTGCAGGAGGAAGATGGAACACAGGAAGCATTGTCAGGTAAGAAGCAAAGGTCTACAGGGTTGGCTGGTGTAGGATCATGTGGTCACATGTGGTCATGTGTGGGAACGTGCGAAGCCACTGAGGTGACGCCTCTGGGGTAGGGCCCTGAGGATGAATCCATGTTCTTCTAGAGCCGCAAGTGTCTCCCAGACCTTTCCCTTTTGTAGATCAGTTTATCTGGCCCTATTTGAACTGGCTTCTCTGCCACTGCCATGACAAAGAACCCTAACAAGTCTATCGCCCTGGCACTTGGTCCCAGGCCACCCTCTTTGAGCCTGGGGCCAACCAGAGGCTGTTATGCTGCCTGACCCCTGCCATGGCTGGACACTAACATCTGGCCATTCCTGGCCAGCGCAGACCCACAGTGGGCGCCCACTACTCGCCTAACAGAGCTGTCTACGTTGCAGTCCCTCCACCTGAGCTCTTCAGAGACAGACCCCTGCAGTCTGAACTTCCACAGCTGGCCATGCCTGGGGCTGTGATGTCCTCCCTGCAAACCCAGGCCCATCTCAGTTTGGTCCACCATCAGCACAGAGGAGCACCTAGGTCATCAGCATACCTGAGCACACTGTACGTCCCAGGGGAAGTTTCCCCACCACCAAACCATACCCATGATCTCCAGGGCAGACTGGACCCAGGTCTCCCTGCAGAAGTTGACCCTGTCTTGGAGTGGGAAAAAAAAAATTAGTAAGGGTCTGGAACGCTGTAATGGTGCCCGAAAGAAGAGGGTGTACTAAAATGTTCCTGGCAATACTCGAAAGGAGAAAGGTAGCAGGGAAAGGGTAGTTGTTTCCCTAGATGGAATGGCTTAAGTGTGGAAGTCACAAAGCTACTGATGGGAAGAGCAAGCTGCAGAATGAACATAAGCTGCTGCTGGCCACAAGGGTGAAGTGCTGTCCAAGATGGACAAGTTGAATTCCTGACGCCTTGTGTCTTGGAATGTGATCTCAGGCAGAGGCAGGGCCTTACCGAGGTGATCAGAGTAAACTGAAATCACTGGAAAGAGCTCTGACCCAACATGACTGGTGCCTTTGTAAAAAGAGGAAATGTGATACAGTGACAGACACACAGGGAGGGGAAAAGCCTCCTAATGGAACTGTGGGGCCTCCGGGCTAGGGCCTGTGGAAGCCAGGCGAGAGGCCGGGGCAGATCCTCCGCAGGCAGAGTCCTGGCACGGGGAGCAGATGCCAGCATCCCTCTGTCTGGCCCACGGTGCCCTGGTTGATGCCTTAGCAGATGACATGGGCCACAGACAAGGAAATGGCAATGCAAACAGAAAGGAGGCACTACCAATAGGCCGGGAAGCTGCAATCCAATTCCTGTAACTTTTTTCTGGTTTGACAAGTGGGGAAGCCTGTAACTAACTATGGTATTTTCTTTCTGTACTTAGGATTTTAAGAAAATAGGGTGCTTAAATAAGCTGATTCCACATGGTTGTACAATCAGGGCTGTGAGGAGCCTGGAACAGGAGATGGAAAGGACTGTGGGGACGGAAGGGGTAGTCAACCTGTGACATGGGGCTGGCTGGTGTCCCCACCCAGCAGCTGGTAGGAGAGACTTCATCTCAGGCCCCCATGTGGTGACAGGCAGAGCGCCATGATCTACATGGGATCCAGCTATCACAAAGCCGCAGCCTGCAAGAGCAGTCCTCACCTGGAAGACCTCTGGTCCTGCACCCCAACACAGAGAAGCCCAAGTTTCTAAGACACTGGCTCAGAGAAGGGAAGTCTGTTGGGCTGCAAAAGTCACTAGAGCCAGGTGCAGAGGTCAGCAGTCTGCCCCGGGGTGAGAGCTGTTGCTGAGCAGCTGTTTCCTCTGGAGTCTAATAAAATCATAGCCATCTTGCAGAGTTATAAACATTGTAAAGGCTGAGCAAGAAAGGAAGAACAAGAGAAGAAGCACAAAGGGGATGATCAGACGGCCTGAAGGCGCCTTTCTTGTCTGCAGAGCTGAAAATGCCTAGAGACTCTGATACCTTAAAGGGGTATTTTAATTAAGTACCCAGAGATGAGTCAATACGAATGTCATCAATATGTTCAGGGAAATTCTGTTAAATAAGTTTTAACGTATGGATCACTTACTAATTGGCAAATGCAACATTAGTGATGTTGACTTTTAAAAGAAAATTTTGATGAATTAAGGGGCCGGGGAGATGGCTCAGTGGATTAAGCGCTTCCATGGCAAGTGCAAGGGTCTGAGTTCAATCCCCAGTTCCACCAAAAAAAAAAAAAAAGAAAGAAAATTTTGATGAATTAATAATATTAATAAGATGAATGTTAAATAGAACACAAATGAAAATGCATACTCTTCTCCATGCAAGCAAACACATTCAACATGAAAGATCTGCTACCAACAAATTTCTCTTAAATTACTTTGCTAAAGAAGCTCAAAAGAAGAATCCCCAAGGGCAAAACTAGGCAGGGATACAACCTGCACCTTACAAGGTGACATTCTGGTCACCTTGAGTGCGAGGCTGTCTCCCCGTGTGGAGACTAGAATTGCCACCCATGAGGAAGTGAGCCATGAGATCTGGGGGCCAAGGGAAGAAGAGCACCCTGGGAGCAGAGTAGAGGACCCCAAAGGCAGGCAGAAAGACCCACAGAAAGGTGGTTTTCAGCTCATCTGAGAAAAGAATGACTTCCTGAGACAGGACACCCATGAGTGAGGGCCACATGAGGCTTCAAATTTGGATCTACTGGGCCTACATATTCTAGGGGAACCTGGGAGCCTGACAGCAAATTCAGCCCATGCCAGCAGCTACCAAGGAAATGCACAAGTGCAAGGACCAGGCTGCCCAGGGAAGGCCAAGCCACACACAGGACCAGGATCTTGACAACAAAAGGAAGTCGGCAGGGGTGAGAGTGAGAGACAGGCCAGCCACAGAGCAGACAATGGGCACACATTGTGGGAAATGGGCACTCAGAGGACAAAGGCACGACATGAGGGGGACAAGTGGCTCACAAATACCAGGCCATGGTATTTCAAAAACAAATGGCTGTTTCAAGAACAAATTACAGACAGAGGAGGATGACTTCGTGCCTGGAAGATAAGCCTAGGAAGCAACCAAAAAGGCAACACCAAAAGGCAAAGATGAAGATAGGAAGCTGAGGGTAAGCTGTGGGAACTACGACAGAACAAGGCTAAATGCACATCTAACACATAGGCCCTTGCATTCAAGCCAATTTTTTTCCTTCCTTTTTTTTTTTTTTTCAGTTCTAAACTCATCCATTTTTCCTGCTCTGTGAACACGGATCTAGGCTGTCTCTTTCACTAGCTGGCCCTGCATGTCCAGGAGGCAGCAATGCAAGATCCCTGCAGGGGACAGGGATACCATCCGGGTCTTTAGGCTCAGCTCTTGCAGCACTGCAGTACTAGCTGCCTCCAGGCTCCCAGGGAGATCTTGTAGCCTGCACTGCATGGGATATCATTGAGCAGAACCTTCTCCTGGAATTTCTGGATGGGTTCTTCTTGGATGCCCACCTCGGGGGAGTGGAGCTTATCTACTACACATGTCATACACATCCCGCACAGGTGCTGACTAAGCTCTGGCCATCTGGTACTGTGACTCAGCCAAAGAACATGCCTCTCTGCATTCAGCTTTCCCTCCTCCACTGGCTGCGCAAGTCTGTCTCCAGGGTGGGCCTTGATGGGTGCCACACACTTAAAGCCAGCACTGTGGTGCTCGCGCTCCCTCCCTAGGCCAGGCTTCTGCTGTCACCATCACCATCCATGCCATAAGGTGGCAGGTGGCACCACAGTACACAGTGGGTAAGCAGTTGTGGTGATAGTATCACAGGGAACTGGGGGGAGGGTCTTAACAAGACCCTCAAGTGTGAACCACAGAAATGAGTATATCTAGTTACACTATTCTGTATTTGGACATGTCTACACAGCCAGAGACACCATCAGCAAAGCAAACACACAAATCACTGTCTGTGAAAACAAATGCAACACAAATAACCAGCCCAGGATCCACACCTGAGGTGCTGGAGGAATCCACCACATGACCAAGCCAAAGACAGGAAGAATCTGACAGGGCAACTTGCGGCTGGGAGCCAGTCTGTTGGCTCCTGATGGGTTCAACCCTCAAGACCCTGCCACCCACCAGCAAAGGAAACTTCCATCCTTCTCTGGTACAGGTGACTCTGTCCCCTGTAGGAAGTCCTCCTGTCTAGGACTGCTCCTGTCCCTGGACACTTGGCCCTTTTCACCCTCCAACTGTCCACAGCTTCTGACTGGAGTCTACCATCGATAGCTGGGCCCACTCTGGCTGGTACTACCAGGAGACTTTTCTTCTCCTTAATGCCAGCAGGACTACCTGTCCACCTTCCAGGAGCCCTCCTCAGAGAGGGCTGGGTGACTGCACCCCTCCACCTCTTCCACTCTGACCTCAGCCCTTCTCCCAGAGGGTGCCCATACCCGCACCTTACCATGAAGATGAAAATGTCGTACTCAGCCCCCAGTCCCTGGCCCCATGCCAATTTGCTGAATAGCTCTTTCCGGAACTCCCACTTGAGCAAGATGGCACAGCGAAAGAAGGTAAACTTGGTCCTCTGTGGTGCAGAATAGGGGTCGGTCATTCAGAGTGTCCCCATGCTCCACCCCATCATCATGTCCCTCTCAAGCAGATCCCAAGGGGAGCAGGACTCTGTAGCGATACTCTCCAGGACACCTGGGGTCCTAGCTATGCCATCTGCCTGCCAGTGCCTCCACCCTAAGCTCCTTGGCACCTACACAAAGCTTGGCTTCCCAGGTCTCCTACTTGATGCCCAGGAGGAGGAGACGCCACCCAAGGAGTCTATTTGGAGCCCTGTTTCAGAAACAGAAAATATCCCAGCTAAGTCTGGGAAAAGGGCTTAGCTTCCCACAGGGCAGATGGACGCTGGGTGGGTTGTTTTGCTGTTAAATGTAAGATCTGGGATGGATAGAGTGGCCTTGGGATGGTGCAAGGGTTACAAGGTACAGTGCTACACGGTTAATGCTGCAGCACAGGACAGGTGCTCGGGGGCCAGCGGAAGTGGTGCCTGGTCTGCTGGTGACTGAGGCCAGACCAGGTGTCCAGGGAAAAGAAGTAGGTGGACCATCCAGAAGTGAAAAGCTGTGCTGTGGGGGAGGGTGTCAGGAGTGCTACACAAGGCAGCACCCATAAAACCTGGGGGCCATGTGATGAGACTGGGGACTCCAGGAGCCCTTGGACAGGACAGTCTGGGCCACTGGCCGGGGAAGCAGAAAGTGGAGGCAGAAGGTTTTGGGTGCCAGGCTCTCCAGGCTGATCGTAGGTGTGGGGAAGGAAGGCTTCCTTGGGCTCACAGGGCAGCAGGAGTGGGAACGCTGAAGGCAGGTGGCTAGAGGACCACCACAAGAATGGCTGCTGTCCTTTCCTCTATCCAAATTTACCTTTAAGAAGCTCAAGCCTCGCCCTGGGGCCCAGCCTGGCTCTGGGCTCCCCTCATAAATCTGGGTCCTCCCACACACTGGCACCCTGGCTACCCTGGCCTGGGGAAGCCTGCTCACCGTGACAACTTCCCAGGAGGGGTCAGCGAGGTGGAGGAGCAGAGGCACCAGGGCCTGGAAGGTCAGGTTCTTGAGAGGCTGCTGGAGCTTTCTTCCACTGCTGTGGATAACATCCCCAAACAGGAGGATGGCACTTCCACGCACCTTCGCCCTTTTCTGGGGGACAGAAATAGGCCTTCTGCACAGGCAGGCCACACAATTCCTTCAAGCCCTGTGGCTCTGCCTGTGACTTTCAGTGGTCAGCATTTGCCTCACTTAGGCTGTGGGGTGCTCAGGGCCAGCCCAGGAGCACCAGGGCACTGGAGTCCAGCTCTTTCCCTTCTGCTCCAACTGCCCTTCCCTTGCCTTCTCTCCCCGTCCTCCTCCAGCCCTGCTTGCCACGCCCCCTCCCATCTCCCTCAGTCTCCTCCTGCGTTTGCTCTGCTCTAGTGCTTCTCAGGCCCTCAGGCAGACCCAGATGCCAGATCTCTCACTTTCTGGCTCTGGGACCACAGTAAGTTTCCTTCCTTTTGTGGCTCAGTTTCATACTTGTAAATAGAAGGTAGTGACACTCACTGCCTTTGTCCGTGGATTGAGGTAGTGGTGGGCACCAACGGCAGCCTCGTGGGAACTGAGGCCCACCTCTTGGGTCTCTACCCAGCACCCCTTCATGCCTCCATGAAAGGCGGAGGACCTGTGTGCTGCCCTAGCTAGATTCACGCTGCTGCTCTCTCCACACCTGCAGGAACCGCAGCGTCCCCCTCCCACCTGCCCAGCTAAGCAGTCTCCAAGGGGTCTCGCATCTCTTCCTTCTGCTGCTGCTGCATAGATTAAGCCTCGCTAGCTGCACACCCCGAAACCGTATGCTCCGCCCAGGCGGCTCCACTTCCCAGCCATTCTCTGCGCAGCAGCCCAAGAGGCTTTCTAACCATGGACCTGCGCCCGCCTTCTCCCCCCACCATAGCCCAGCCCCTGTGCCCAGCCGGAGACCCTCAGCTCGGCTGCCTCTTGGGGTAGACCACGAGGGCAGTGTTTAAATGAAGTGGTGGGTCTTGTTGACCCAGGAAGCTGGAAACACTAGGACAGGGGAGTGTTAGCCTCCGCCTTAAAGATCAGCCTGGGAGAGCAGTCGAGAGGCAGCTAAACCTCCCATCCATCGCTGAATTCTTGGCCTGGCTGCCCAGCCCAGGACTTTACCCGCCCTACAATGGCTTCGGCCTCTCTGATTGGTGGGCTCGGGAGAGGCGTGTAGGTCCCAGCCAGCAGGGGGCGCCGGACTCCGGGAGCGCAGGAGCGTCCTCCCATCCCACCCCTACCAGAGCCTCCCCAGCCCTGTTCCCCTCACGTGATCGAAAAACTGCAGCAGGTGCTGGGCAATCTGGATGCTGAAGGTGCCGATGCCCTGGAGGCCCAGGCGGTGCAGGATGTCACCCAGGATTACTATGAGACCCAAGGGATCCTGGGACTCCGGCTGCCCGAGGCTGTACAGCAGATCCCTGAGCAAGCTGTGGAGCAGGGCCACCTGCAGGGAGACACGCCCCCACCCCAATGGGGCAGAGCGCCCGGACTGCTGAGCCTCCTTCAGCCTGTTCCTATCCATCCCCAGGACAGAAGACAGAATCCCTCGCTGGGCTGACCACAGTCCCACCTCTCTTCCACGCTGGACAGGAAGATAGATGGAAGCAAGGCCCTTTACCTCTGCAATACCATCATGGGACATTGGCCCTGTTCTGGAAGATTCCGCAGGCAGAGGGAGGTGGGTGGGGCATGACAGAGGGACCCAACAAGTCTCCAAAGGGGTCTCGCATCTCTTCCTGCTGCTACCCCTGCATAGGTTAAGCCACTGCCAGCTCACCTACATTATACATGCCCCTGAATCTGTATGCTCCAGCAGTAGGCTGAGTGCTGAACGCAGAGCTCCCTGCAGCTCAGAGACCCCAACCTGCATGGTGCTCTCGCCACTGGGTGATGTGGCTTCCCCATCAGCCTACCTCGGCAGCTCTTCTACAGCATCCTCCCTGCAGTCCTCCTGGGACTGAAGTGGGCGTCTCCCACAAAGACCCCAACCTCCTGCTCACCTTCTTGGGGTTCATCAAGATGGCGCTGAGCCCCTTCAGGCTCATGGCCCGCACCAGCCAGTTAGGGTTCTTCAGGCCCTGTCTCAGAAGGTTGTCCATGGCCCTCTGGGACACGTACTTAGGAACCTCTGGACTGTTGAGAAACTGTAGGGAAAGTCAGCCCATGACGTGTGTCAGGCAGAAGTCAGGATGCCTTTATATCAAGGATGGGGAGGAAAGTTCAGCTCTGCCTTCCTTTGTGAAGGGCAGAGGATGGTGTAAGGCAGCCAAGCATGGGGGGCCAGGGAGAAGCTGACCTCTGCAATGATGAGGATGGCCACGATGTTGTCTTGCTCCTTGGTGCTCTTCGTGGAGATGATGGCCTGGCCCAAGACAGCCTTGACCTCACAGTCATAAAGAGCCATGGCCCTGTCAGATGGGAGAAACAGAAGCAGGCCCTACTCTCTGGTCAGGACAAGGGTACGGATGGGGGTGGGGCTGGCACACCACTGCCACAGATTACAGGTGCTGGTCAGGCAGCAGAGTTGAGTACATGATCCCATGGGAGAAGTGGCAGACAGAAGCCCCAGGAGGGTGTGACCCAGCCCCTCCTAGCCAGGGCACCCGAGCTTGGGGATACCTGGCCAGGACAGTCACTCCCTCTGTGTAGGTCTCTAAGTGCCCAAAGAGCTCCCAGCCCCTGAGCAGCTTGATGTGCGCGAACACTTCCCAGTACTGAGTGGTCCAGAAGAGGCCCTTCAGGGCTTCCAGGCAGGTCCTGGGGTAACGCAGGGTGTTGGGAGAGGGTGGAGGCCCTGGGGCCTGGACCAGCCACTGTCTTCTGGGCTCCCCTTGCTTAGGGCTTCCCTGCCCCCTGCCTCACCCTGTGGAAGAGTCCATTCCTCCTCAGCCCTCAGTGTCTAGCATCTGGTGGGAGGGTCTCTGGCCTAGTGGGAGGGTCCAGAAGGGGAGGGGACTGGGACTGAGGCTACCCCACATCTCACCTACAGGGCCCAAGGGGCTTGGAGTCCAGTCTGTCCTCCTGGTAGTCCAAGAAGCCCTCGACCATACCCAGCTCCAGTAGGTAGTATAGCTGCGTGAGCAGGCCCAGGAGGATCCCCGCAAAGGCCTGGCGGACTGTGGGCCTGTACTCCTGGATGTAGAGGAGCTCATAAACGGTGCCCAAAGCCTGCAGTGAGTGGTAGGGAAGGCACGGAGGTGCCAGGTGAGTGGAGAGGTGGGCAGCAGTGGCCACATGCCCATTCTGCTTCCAGGTGCCACTTCGCTTGTACTTGAGCTCGGACAAGGACTCAGTATCTGGGACCTTTGACTACTTGTAGTCAGACCTGAGTCAGGAGCACCTTTCCTGCAGCAGCCAGGGGCAATATAGGATGAGCTGGACCCCAACCTCCTACCTTTTCTTGGACTCCGAGCTCTGCCCAGACAATGCCACTGGCCTCCCTTGTCCTGCTTGGCCCCACCCTCTGCTGACCTGCCTAGCTGCTTCTAGCATCCTTTTCAGATGCCTTCCAGTGAAGGCCTGTCCTGCTCACTGGCTTCCTGTCCCAGGCCCCTGGTTTCTGTGTCTGGCCCCATCTGGCCTTATGTCCTTAGGTAGGGCTATGAGTAGTCACTGTGTGCCTGGGTACTTGCCCCTAAGGAATCCTGTGGTCTCCGTGCCCTCTAGCTCTCCTCATTTCTAGAGGCCGTGTAGCCTCCACTGCTCCTCTGCTTGTCCAGTGTCCTCTTCTCAAAAGGCAGAGCTAACCAAGTCAGTCCTAGATCAAACTCCTCCCCAGCTTCCTGTTGCTTCTACAGAGAACCTAGGGATCACACTGGTCTTCACCTCCCAAGTCTGCCCTCCTGCCCTCTTTGAAGTCTCCTCAATCTCTTGCCATCCCTCCGTCTTCTCTCATGGTCCCCACAGTGTGTGATCTTTTGAGACTGTGAGCCCCTGAGGCCAGCCAGAGCTCTCTGCTCCTTTGCTTCCGTATGTAATCGGTGGACACGTGCTGTGACTGTGTGGATGTTTGATCTGTCTGCCCTGGCACCCTCGTGGAGCAATGAGTGCTAATGGTGGCAGTGAGGTCCTGTGGCCCAGCAGCTGGCCCGCCAGCTACTGTCCTAGACAGCCAATGGTTCCCCTGTGCAGGTGAGATGTGGTGGCCATCTTCACAAACAAGTCTCCCTGAAACTGCAGTGACACACTGACGAGGGCCTGAGTGAGGGCCGGCCCTGTATTAGAGGCACAATGTCACCCTGGGCCCCACTGGACCCCTGAATGCAGGCACTGTTTCTGACAGACCCTGACCAGAGCATGGGGTCCAACTTACCAGAAGGGAGATGAGCTGCACCTGGTGGGCGGACTCGAGGACCTCCAAGGAGGGGCACAGCTGGAGCTTCGTGCAGAGCAGGGTCATGACCTTTCGAGCCAGCTTGCAGTTGGCAGCCAGGGCAGTCCAGAGAGTTAGGACCTGCCTGGGGAGGCAGAAGCCCATGTTCCCACTGGCCATATGGGCGCACAGGCTGTGCTGCCCTGCCACGCCAGAGCAACCCCTGGGGGAACGGGAGGCCTTCCCCACAGGTACATGGTAGGTCCCCTGCCGACCGTCAGCAGGGTGACCTGCTGGGTGTAGTGAGGTGGACATAGCCAGACCACTCAGGAGTGGGGACTGGGGAGGGGTGGAGCCCTTATTCTGATGTCGTGTGCTGTCTGAAATGGTAGCACACAACTCCTGCCCTGCCCTCCTGACGCACTTCTGGCTACCACCCTCAGCATTGCCTGTGGCTTGCAGAGTGAGGGCTTCTCACCCACAGAGTGGGCTCAGGAAACCCAGCATAATGGCTCTGGGCCCTCAGGTCGCAGGGCAGCTGGCAAGGGTCATTGTGGTTGTGGCACCCAGCTGACCTCTGGCTCTGTAGCAGGTTGGTCACAGGGTCTGTCTGAGTCTGAGAGCCATTCCATGCTGAAGCCCCCTCCTGGGACCCTGGGAACCCCTACTCAGTGCCCTCAGCCCAGGTTACCCTTGGGGACTGCTGACCATCAGCTTGGGTTTGAGGAAAAGGGTGTGCCTGGCAGAACCCTTCAGACATATGTCTCCTGGTGCCTGCAGCAAAGCCTAAGCATCTCTGGGTGGGAGGCCACACAGCAGTCTGGCACCCCAGGCTGAGGAGGAAACCTACTTCTCCGAGGGGTGGTCCAGGGACAGGAGCACTTCAGCCACCTCTGATGTGTACTGGGTCCCCAGAGCTAGCACAGCTTTCATCATGGTCTGCTGGGTCTTCTTGAAATGGAAACTGGGAAGCTCCTGGAACAGGCTGTGCAGGACTTCAGCCACCTGCACAGGAGGAGAGACAGGTAGAACAAATGTCAGATGTGACCGGAGAGTAAGGGACCCTGTGATCCTGGGCAGGACCCAGCTCCACGGAGCCAGCTCAGGGTTTGCGCCTCTTTGCCACTTTGCACGCCTTCACGTTGCGTGTTTGTCCTTGGGAAAGTGGGATGCCACCCGCACAAAGGGCCAGTGTGGAGTGTCTGAGCTGGGTAGGCCAGGCACTGTTGTGTGACACTAGTGTGGGGTGCACCTTGAATTGCAAGACTAACGCACTGTCTCCCAGGCTGCCAGGGAAGTGGTGTGTGCCCACAACTGCAGTGGCAGAGCTGCTGGGAGGAGGCTGCTGAAAGAGGTGCTGGTGCTCTCATGTAGGAAGTGCGGCATGTGGGAATGCACACACGGGCTGCACAGATAGCCCTTGGCATGTGGCCACCCACTCCCTTCTAGTATGTTCAGGGGGATGCATGCCAGGCTGAGGCCAGGTACCAGTTCTGAGTGCCAGCCTACCTGCTCTGGCTTGATGCTGCGGCCCTCGAAGATCATCAGGAGTAGCTTGGAGGCCAGAAGACATTGCAGCAAGCTGCGGCTGCTGAGCCCGCGCAGCAGCACAAGCACCAGCTGTGTGCGCTGGGCCACGCTCAGGACCTTGTCGAAGGCCTGTGCCCAGGGCAAGGGAACAAGGGCCGCTGGTCAGCAGTGGTTGGGGCATCTAGGCTAGGCTGTTCCCAGTGATGGAACGAGGGCCATGCACACCCCCGCCTAGATGCCTTGTGCACAGACGCATGGGGACCCAGGAAGGGCCCGCCTTGCCCTGGCTGCTCACCCACACTGTGACAGGCTGTCAGTGGCAGACTGCAAATGTGGTCACCACAGGTTCCCAGCTGTCCCTTCTCTCTGGGAGTGAGCAGCCTTGGCTGGGGCAGTAGAGCCCCACCTTGCCGCCAGTGGCCGGATCCCTGCCTGTGTGTAGTTCACAGCTCCCTGCGGCCCCTGTCCTTGCCCTCCCTCACTTCCCTTACCCCACTTTCCCTGAGAACAAGCCTGTGGTGAACACAAATTCTTGTCCACTGTCTTTTGTGAGGGAGCCCCTGAGACACAGGCTCAGCTGGGTGCGTGGCCCTGGGGCCTCCAGCTGCACAAAGGTGGCACGTCCTACTGCAGCCTCTGCAGGAGCAGGAGGGTCTCAGACCTGGTGGGCCCTCATTTGGCAGGGGAGGAGCCCAAGGAAGACAGAATGTTCTACCCGAGGTCCCCTGGTGCAGCACAAGGGAGGGCTGGGAATAAAGCGTAGAGAGGGCGCCGGGGGGGAGTGAGGAGCAGGGCCATTCTTGGTTGCCTGGACAGAGGGCAGTGCCAAGACAGAGGGTCCCCTGAAAAGCAAAATGAGCTGTCTCCCTCCCAAGGAGCTCAGAGGGAGCCCTGGGAAGTCCAGTGAGAACCATAGGCCTGCAGCTCCAAGTGGGCTCATGTCTGACAAAACCTGCAAGGTGAGGCAGAGACAGGGCCCTCTCCTCAGAGGGGCAAGGTCTGTTAGGTCGTTCCACATTGGCTATGCTCCACTTCTCCCGTGTATCTGCCACCAGCCCCATCTGTACAACTGGCTGAGGTGTGGAGAAGACCAGAGAAAGCCTATCCTCTTGGGAAGTTTAAGGGTCCAGTGGGAGTGCCCACCTTCCAGTCACCCCAACTCTGAGAGGCCTCACCTTCGCCAAATGTTGGAGCTCCTCTTCCCCTTTTCTAGAGGTCTTGACCTTGAAGCACTTCATCTTGCTTTGGTGCAGGCCCACCGTTCTGCCTGTGCCAGACTCAACGTTAGGGGTCTGCCCCACCTGGAGAAGGAGCTCCCTGCCTCTGCCCATTCTTTGCAGCTCACCCTTCTGCTGCCCGGAAAGCTTCAGGAGTAGATAGACACACCGGTGGGCAGGGCTCTGGGTCTCCATATCCGTGTCCCACCACAGCAGTGTCAGCAGGCCTAGCTGCTGGCCCAGCGCAGAAGGCACGGCCTCTTCCTAGGGAGAGTGGGAGTGAGCAGTGCCAGGCCTGGCTTCCTGGGGTCCCCTCTGTGGCCTAGCATCTTCTAGGAAGGACCTGGCTGGGTCAGCTGTGCCTCTCTGACCTCAGCATCCTCCTCTGTGCAAGGGGCCCCTATGGTTGCCAACGACATGAAATTATGCCATGTTGGTCCTTGCGCCCTGGAGGCTCACCTGCCCGTGTGTCTTCCTCTGGGCAGATGTAAGATTTTTCCCACTTATCTTTATCATTCCCATTTCCAACAATTTTTGGTTTTGTTGTGCCTCAGGATAGGTTTTTTAAATTTATCTTCTTGGGGCTCACTGATATTCTCAGATCTCTGAGTTTATATTTTTCATAGAATTTGAATAATTTCAGCTCCTGTTTCTACAACTTCCTTCTGCCCGTCTTTTTCTTTCGTGACTCCAACTGCACTTGATGCTGTTCCACAGCTTATTGCTGCCTTGAATGGTTTTAATTTTCCCTTTTTGCTGTGCTGGAGGTGAAACCCAGGGTCTCGCACATCCTAGGCCAGCGCTCTACCTCTGAGCTATATCTCAACCTCTGATTATTTTTTCTCTAGTTATTTTCTTTCAGGGGTGTGTGTGTGTGTGTGTGTGTGTGTGTGTGTGTGTGTGTGTGGCTGGCTGACTGGCTGAGCCCACCCTGGGGTCAGGGTTGGAGCATCATGTGGGGCTAGGAATCAAACTGTGGTCCCTGCAGTTACTTAAACCTAAGCAGGCATTTCAAACTACTGAGCTGTCTCACTGGCCCTTTCCTTCAGTTTTTTTTTTTTTCCAACTGTTATTTCATTTATATTACTATGATTAAGTTACATGGAAAAAAGATAATGAAGCAGTTCTTCCCCATTTGAGAAAGCTTCCAGTCAACACCAGTTACGTGGTGACCAGCAGCTAGGAACGGTGGTATCTTTGGGTCAAGACTGACAAGGAAGAATGGGCTCTGGGGCTGCGGTTCATCTCCACCAAGAACGTGGGTGCTGGCCAGCGCAAGCCGCCTTTAGCACCGGGCACAGATTGAGGTCTCTTCTCTGAAGCCAGCAAATGAAGTGAAATACCTGGGTTTTTAAAAAAAAGTTTTAAAATGAATCTCAAATTAAGTTTAAAAACAATGCTCTTTGGGGGCTGGTGAGATGGCTCAGTGGTCTAAAGCACCTACTTAGAACAAGCTTAGCAAAGCACAGGGACCGCGGTTCAATCCCCCAGCACCACAAGCCAGCCAGCCCCGCCCCCTGGTGGGCTGAGCTGGCCACACACACACACACACACACACACACACACACACACATAAATAAATAAATTTAAAAAAAATAAAAATAAAAACAATGCTCTTGACATAGTCTCCATTCAAAATTTACATAAGACACACATTTCACTCTAACAGCCCAGATTTTTTTTCCCCCATGTAGCCCACCATGTAGCTGCAGGTAGACTTTTCTGCCTCACAATGTAAATTAAACATCGGGGGGGAAAAAAACCCAGCATCTGCACAATGCTCTCTGTATGCTGCTCCTGGATGGGAAATACAAAATTGAAGAAAAAAAAAAAAGAAAAAGAAAGACAGGTTTCATCTTAGACTCCAACAACCTCTTGTTCTGCAGTTCATGAATCTCACTCTGATGCTAAGGTGACAGTATATGCAAGAAGATTTTTGTTTTTGGTGAAGGAGACCTGTGGAAAAGATGTGTTTATCTCTTTTTCTTCAAGAATTACCAGACAGGGGGCCAGGGAGATAGCTCAGTAGAACAAGCGCTTCCCTGGCAAGTGCAAGGGCCTGAGTTCAATCCCCGGTTCCGAAAAAAAAAAAAAAAAAAAAAAGAATTATCAGACGGAGGGCCGGCCAAATAGCTCAGCAGATTAAGGCACCTCCTTAGGCAGATGCAGGGGCTGGGAGTTCAATCCCTTGGCCTGCCGTGCTGGCCCCACTCCAGGGGCATGCTGAGATGGCAATTGAGACTGGGTGTGGTGGCACACGCCTGTAATTCCAGCACTTGGGAGACTGTAAAACAGGAGGATCACTACAAGTCTGATCTACCCAGTGAGACCCTGTGCACCCTGTCCTAAATACAAGTAAGCAAACAAAAAGAAAAAAGAATTACCAGATGGTACATGCTCTTCAAAGCCCTCACTCTCTCAAACTAGAGCATGCTGCAGGATCACACAGCCTTCCCCATACCATTGGTGACCTTCAGTGGCAAACTCATAGATCCATCCTAGTTGCTCTTGCAGTTTTTACAGCTCACATGTGGCAGCCAGTGAGCAGGCCCCGATCTCAAACTTCACTGTACTGCAGATTAACTACCTTGTTAAAAAAAAAAAAAATGCTCTACCAGTGGTGCCTGTGAATCAAGTCGAGATGAGTTCTGAGCAGTTGGTCAGGACTGTATCACAGTTTGCACATGAAAACTGCTGAATACCACCAATGTGATCATGGAAAACTCTGCCCATTTTGATAGCTGAAGTTCTAAAAACCCTGGACGGTGGTGAGATGCCTGCTGCCTGCAGCTCTTTGCTCCACAGCTGGGACGAAGCCCCTGGGCCACCAGACTCTTTCCCTCAGTTTTGGTAGGTTCTGTTGTCTTGTCCTTAGGTTCACTGATTTGTGTGTGTGTGTGTGTGTGTGTGTGTGTGTGTGTGTGTGTGTGTGCAGGATCTCACTGCACAGATCGGACTTGTAGTGATCCTTCTATTTTCAGCCTCCCTAGTGCTGGGATTACAGATGTACACCATGCCCAGACTCCATCACCAGCTCAATGTGCCCCAGGGGTGAGGCTGGCACAGCTTGTGGTGCCAGGGATTGAACCCTGACCCCTGCACTTGCCTAAGCAAGCACTTAGTCTGCTGAGCTACATTGCTGGCCCTCACTGAAGTTTTTTCCTGCATCGTCTGACCCACCGGTGAACAGAACCCAGTGATATTTGCACTTCAGGTACATATTCTGTTTGTATTTCTACAATGTCTATTTGACTCTTTTATAGTTACCAGTTATCTTTTGCTGTTTCACATCTACTCTATTCTTATGTTCATGTTTTCCTTTAAAGTGCTGAACATATAGTCATGCGCTGCTTAACGACATTTTGTTGGACCATTTTACCGTATACAAATTTTACTTCAATAAAGTCAAGTGGTGTGAAAAAGTGACGATGTGTACCTCCTGCAATCTTTACAACCACAGTGTGTGTGTATGAGTGCATGTGTACCCATGAATGTTGTATGAAGGGGTAGTCTTCAACCGGTCCTCTTAGCATCCAGCCTGCGCCTCAGAGTTGCAGGGACTGGACGTAGGTAGTGGGCCTCGACTTGGGCAGGAGCAGCTTTGGAGCCAAACAGTTAGGACCTGGGTAAAAGCAGCCCCAAGGCGGAGCCTACAGCAGGAAGCCATTCTGATGAGGTATGTGGAAAGTCTCATTGAAGACAGCCTGCTGTGGATGGGACGGTGGCCTCTTTAAGGTTGAGCCCTAGCTTGCGTCACACTGGAGTCCTGATCCTGCTCCTCAGCCTTGAGGAAGGAGATATGCCTCTCAGTCTCTGCACGGAGAGCTGTCTTCATTTCACTTCAGGACCTGGGAGTAGAACTGTGTGGTTGACGTTAAGAGTGTGCTTAACTCTAACAGAAAGTGCTGGAAGTCCTGCTGAGTGGTCCTCACCTCTTACACTGCCCCCCCCCCACCGTGTGGTGTTTCTGGCTGAGGCACTCCTGCCACGCTTGGCATGGCCTGTCTTCCATTGTATCCCCTAGCAGGTCAGTGTGGGGAGCATCTCACTGTGGTTTTCATTTACATTTCCTCTATAATGATGCCAGGCCTGTTTGACTTCATGTGCTCCACGACATACCTCTGGAAGCATTTGGGCCATTTGGGGCCTGGGTTATCTTTGTACCAAGGTGCATGAGCTCAGTATACTTCCCAGATCCAAGTCCTTGGCTCGGTGTACCCATCATGCATTTTTTTCTTCTGATCTCTGTCCTGTCTTTTGATGCACATGTTTCTAATTTTAATAAATTCTATTTAATTAGTGTTTCCCCAACAGCTACAGCCTTCTGTATTCTGTCCAGGCAGACTCTGCCTATCCCGACTGTATAAAGAGGATCTGTCTTGGGCCACGGAGATAGCTCAGTGGTCTAAGTGCCTGCCTGGCAAGTGCAAGGACCCAGGTTCGATCCCCGGCACTGTATGCTATGCCAGCCCTGTACTGTGCCAGCCACTGAAACCAGGCATGGTGGCACACGCCTGTAATACCAGCACTGGGGAGGCTGAAAATGGGAGGATCACTATGAGTCCCAGTTGTGTAGTGAGACCCTGTACCAAATACATTAAAAAAAAAAAAGACCTGTCTTCCTCCATAGATGTCATGGGCTCTGGGTTCACACCCAGTTCTGATGCTTCTGATGTTACTTTGCTTCTGCTACGAGCTGCGACAGCGCTGTTCTCAGGAGGAGCTCTGAGTCCCAGCACTCCCTGGCCAAGGGGCTTCTTTCCTACTTAGCACCTCGGCAGGCAGCAGAAGGATGTCCTATTCCCACTCTCTGTTCTTTTCTGCTTATGTCTTAGCAACACTCATTTGGTTCATTTCCAAAATTGCTTGGCTTCCCCAGTTCCGCCTATCACTGTGGCCCCCTTGTCCCCTCTGAGGCTGTTTCTTCAGGGATCACTCTTCTGCCAGGTAACCACACCTCCCTCCCTTCCTGCCTTCAAGCATTTGGTTCCTGTTGGTGGCAGTCTTCCTGCCCAATGTCCTTATATCGTCCTCTACAACCTGTAGTGGGAACTCAGGGCCAGGACTTTGTCCTCTTCCCCAACAGCCAGTAGCTTGCCTCTGCACAGACAACTCTGATCTTTGAGTGCTCTTGAGAAGGTCTATGGGGTGGGTGCCCACCTTGTGCCCGCCACATAGGTGTTCCCTGGGGCAGTGGGCAGAGACTCACTGTGGACTTTGGGGTGTCTACTGCGTACTGCAGAAGCAGGAGAATGGATTGCACCGCGCGCTGCCGCTCATGGCTGTTGTCGGACTGCAGCCAGGGCTCCATGTGCTGAGATAGGAGGACAGGTCTGAGAACCAGCTCCTGTGGGCCAGCCTGCACCCCAGGTCCAACCCAGGCCTTGTGGGACTCACTAATAGGGATAAGGGTGGCCAGCCAGGCCTCAGCCTCCCCTCTGTGCAAGGACCAGCTCCTTCAGCTAAGGGGTCACCTCCCAGGTTGGGCCTGCGGCCACCTGAGATATAAGACCAGACTTTTCCTACCCTCACACAGGCAGCACAGTGAAGCCACTGAGTCCAGAGGACACTACCTCGCATCTTCCAGTCCCACTGTTCTGCAATGGATCAGCTCCCCAGGCTGAGAGCCCAGTACTTGTGATTACCCCCACTTCAGCAGCCACTAGCAGTAAATGGAGTATATCACTTTATCTTTCATTATAAAGGGCACCCCTACTCCGCTGAGAGTCTGAGGATTTGGGGGGCTGTGGGCCAAAGCCAGGGCCAAGAGCCAAGAACTTTCTTCTTTCATCACCCCGCAGGCCGCACTAGAATATCCACATATCCAGGAAGCACGAGCCCTACGTCTCTGGAGTCAGCTCACCAAAGCCCCACGCTGCACCGGCACAGGACGGGGAGCAGGGGAGGCCAGGGGAGCATCATCTTAGCAGTCCCCATTTCCTGTTTCTTGAGTCACTTTGGACCTTCCTGCAGCTGGTGTTTCCTTCGGAGCTGCCTGCTTCCCCGGCTCTGATTCTATTTCCCCTCCCTAGACCCTCTTGTTCATGGCTGTACCACTAGCTCCCTGGACGTTGGCCCTGTCCCCCAACCCCATGCCCTAAAGCACAGGTGCTAGCCATTGACCCACACACCTGGGCTCCTTTTTCAAGGGGGTTCTGCACCACAGGGCAGGGGTAGAGGGAACATCTGTGTCCTGAACTGGTCAGCTGTGGCTCCATCCAAGCCACAACCCACATCAAGCTCCTGACAGTGGCACCCCAGTAAGCACCATCAGCTGGACATGGCCTCAAATGAGACTCAAACCTGTAACAGCTGGGAGTCTGGCTCCTCTAAAGGCACAGCCTTCTTGTGGTCGCCCTGCTAGAAAACACACAGAACCACAAAGGAGCATCCCAGTCTGGCCACTGTCACCCACGAAACTGCAAAGGACTGTTCCTGACAAGGGCATCCATAGAATGGCAGAAAATCACCCCGACTCGCTGCAGGTCTGGCCCAGCCAGGGGCACCCAGGGAATTGCAGAGGACCATCCGTGACAGCCTCAGTGCCAGGTGGCTGTCCACAGGCCTGGGCTGCACTCCAGCCTCTGTCACCCTTCCCTGGGCCTCATGCTGTCACAGAGCACTTCACGGCTGGACAAGTTCCCTTCAGAGCCGAGAGGAAAGCACCCCACCTGGGTCCAGCACCCATTAGCATGCCTCACACTTCCCTCTGAGCCATGTGCCTAGGTATTCTGGGTAGGGCTCAGGGTTACCCAGAGCAGTCTCCCCCTTTCTCCCTCTCCAGTCATCAGGTGGTAGGGGACACTGTGGCACCTCTGGGCTGGAGGGATTAAGCCTTGTGAAATACAGCACCCAGGGCCAGTCACAGGTGCTGCCAGCCCCTCCACGAGGGCATCTACTGCCACTGCAGCCCTTGCCAGTACAGAACAACTCAGGAAGTATTGGAGGAGCATGCGGTAGGTGAAAACACCTGCCAAGTTGCACGGGTCATCTGCCATCACTGAAGCCCTGTGGTTCTTGAGACAGTGCAGGTTCCACTGTGCCACATAGCAGGACTCTGGAGGTGAGGCCTCCACGCATGAGTGTGGTGCTGCGGCAGGACCCGGGGGTGTGGGGAGTCTCCTGCCTCCCCCGGGGCTCTCCCCTCTCCCTCTCTCCCAGCACAGCAGGCTGCCTCGCTGGGGCTGGAGCCCACCTCACCTGCAGAAGGAAGCAGACCTCGTCCATGCTAGGGTTCTCAGAGAAGAAGCTCTGGAGGAGCAGGTTGAGGGCATACACCGTCTTCTTGTACAGCCCCTAGTGGGAAAACCAGGTCAGCTGGCGCCACACCTGTGCCTCCCTGCTCTGAGGCCCACAGGCCTGATGGAATCTGCCATGGATAGGGCAACAACATAAGCACTGCAGGGGACACCCTAGTTGCTCGGGCAGGGCCCTATTGCACGACTGGGGCTTCTCCAGCTTCCAGTTTCACCCCTCAATCCTGCCACAACCTGATCTCTCAGCTGGACATTTCTCAGGACTCAATAAGGCAGGATATGCAGTGGACACAAGCGTAAGTACAACTGGGACCCTCTTCTCACAGGATGAGCTCTTCCTGAGTGCAGGGCTAGACGTGCCAGGAAACAAGCTCTGCCTCGAGGACGGCCCAGCACAGGCGAAGGAGCAAGCAGGGAGCAAGACCTCCACAGCAGGTGCGAGCGCCTCAAGCTTGTCATCGCGGGCTGCCTGCTGATTTTAATTGCCCCAGAGAAGGAGTCACTGCGCAATGGGGCTGAAGCTTCTCCCAGCTCCCAGGGAGGCCACGATTACTCCCAGCCTCCTCTGTGCCTTCCTCCTGTTGATGGAGGCCGGCTGGAGGGCAAGGCAATGGGGGCGTGGACAGAGAGCAGGAGAGGAGAGCGCTGCTCGCTGCTCGAGAGCAACGTTGAGAGGTCCCCAGAGCCCGGGCTGAGAGCCACTGCAGCATGCAGACACTAGCTAGGGCTAGGGAAAGTAGCTTCCCAGGGGGCGAGAGAGGGACAGTCCCCAGAGCGCACAAGCTGCTGGGCTTTGTTCCTAGCAAAAGAAGCCTGAGTGGAAACCCACTATCTATCGTATCACTCTTACTCAATTTTGTTGCTCAAATCCATTTATCAGGGATTGTTAGCCAACTGATTTTTCTTTCTTTTTTTTTTTTTTTATTTTAAGGAAGGGTCTATGGGGTCCTTTTTTGTATTTTAGGGAAGGGTCTACAGGGTGTTCAGGGTCTCACTTAGATTCTTCCCTAAAATATAAAAAATAAATAAATAAAAAGAAAAGTAAAATCAATAGATGGTTCAATAGATCTAAGTATAGGTATAGATATTATACACCAGTAACGGTGTATAATCTTTAGGAAGCGAGAAATGGAAAGCTGTATATTTAGGACCTGGAGATACATCTATGGACATAGGTATAAGTACAGATATATGTGTGCAGGACAAAGAGAGGAAGGGTTAAATACATATAATATAAGCTCCGACACATTCACCAAAAAATAAGTCAATGGCTATAGCTAAAATGTCAAAAAAGCAGGTTAAATACATCTCCATTAAAATGTTCCATGACTTGAAAGAAGGCAGAGAGGTGTGGAGAGAGGAGCGAAGACGAGGTGGACAAAGAGAAAATGGTAGTGCGACTCGAACTTCCCTTACGTGTGAGTGGGCCAGAGCCCCACCGCCAGAAGGCGAAACTCACGCAGGGGGAACAGCAAGACCTGCCTCCTAAAAAGTTGGCTATACTGATGCACACAGGATAAAGGTGACAGAATGGAGAAAGGGCTGCCACGCGACAGATGGAATCCGTTTCAGAGCAAAGAAGGGCTCCAGCAGTGAAGACGGCCGCAGGGCCAATTGCTCAGGAAGACAGAGGGATCTTAAGTGTTTGTGGGCCTAGCGACACCCTGCACCACGCTTCGACTGAGCGCTGCAAGGAGACAAATCCATAACCACGGATCACAAGGGTAGACAGAACATCTGTGCAGACAGAAGGGATGGACGATGCTGCCAGTCAGGTTTATCCCCCTGACTTTTACAAGCCGTTCCTTTGCAAAACAGCAGAATACATAGTCTTTGTAAGCGCATATTGGTCATTTACCTACATAGTTCACATTCTGGGCCAGTAAAATTAAAGGGATTTGGCTGGATGTGCTGGCAAACTCCTGTAATCCCAGCACTCAGGAGGCTGAGGCAGGAGGATCTCTCCAAGTTAAATTCTTCAAAGTGCGAATGGACACTCAGTGATACAGCAGGCTAGCGTATCAGTGGTGAGAGATGAGGAGGGCAGAGTACACACAGAGGACCCTGAGGGAGGATCCCGGGGCACAGGAAGCTTCAGGACTGTCTGTCTTGAATTTGATGGCGGTGACATAGATGTCTGCCAACTCACACACAAGGTGTACTCTGGATGCATCGTGGTGTCGCAGTTTTACTTTAATCAACCTTAAAACCTTCCTGAATCAATGCCTGTGGCTGAGTGTCTGATGCCTTCTAAGGGCAGACGCTGGCTGCCAAGACTCACCTGGAGATAACTAGGTATTTGTGGCACAAGGAAGGGCTGCTGCTCGGACTTGTCGAGGGCCCTGGCACTCATTCCCCAACTGCAGAGGACCCCCGGGATTGCTTGACGCAGCCTCCCTGGTGATGGAGCACGGCCTGTGACAAGGCCTGACTGACCCAGTGACTGACCGGACTCAGATGAGCAACAGAGGAATGGGACTTCCCTGAGACTTGCTGTCACTCCTTGGTGACCCCCTGGAGATGGGCTTCCACAAGACCCCATGACCTCCTTGGGTCCCCACAAGATCCTCTCTCCCCACAGGAGGGAATGCCCAATGGACATCCATGTTGGCCCCTGTCTAGCAGATGGCTCTAGCAGATGCAGGTCCTGCCTGGCCTGTTCCATGGCTTTTGCTGTCCCTGCAGACCAGGTTGTGGCTGTGGGAACAAACATCTTCCACCGTCACCACAGACCCCATAGGAGGCCTGGCACAGGGGGCAGAACCTAACCATGGAGGGAGCTCCTCCCATCCAAGGACAGAGCTGTCCCAGTTGGAGTTGTGGTGGTGGTGGAGAGGAGATGCTTTTGGCTCCTGGGATGTGACAAGGCCTTGCTGTGTGCTAAGTGTAGGCAGGAGGCATGTGTGTACCAGCCTGCATGTCCCTGCCTCAGGGCTTTGGACAGGACAAAGTCCTGAGGGAGGAAAGTCCCTGCCTACCTGGCTAAGACAAAGGACCAGGAGCAGCAGAGGCTGTAGGGGGTTTTTAGGCTCAGTCAAGTTGAGTCATAAGAGCTGAGCACAGCTCACGAACTGCAGGAACCCAGGTCATAGCAACCAAACCTGGACCCCAGCTCATCCCCTGGCCTCTCCCCCAGGCAGAGCTTGACAGCCCCCAGCCCCCAGCCCAGAAGAGAGGATGGCCAGAGCGGACTGTCACCATGACATCGATGTCAGGGGATGCATCCAGGGAAGGCAGGCAGCCTGGCAGCTTCTCTGTAGGAGGCAGTGCATACACACTTCGCAGGCAGACTTTCAGAACCCTGGACCTGACCCAGGGCGGTAGGCTGGGCCGCAGGTTGCTACAAGAAACCAGAGAAGACTCTTTGCACAGTCAGAGCTTGGGTAGAGACCTGACTTGGGCTCCCCGCAATCTAGGGGACACAAATGAATGTTGTCTGCCTCAGACTCCACATGGGCTGGGGGGGGTGGAGCACATTTGGGCTGGAGGAACCCATGGCAACAGGGACTCAGCCAGCCCAACTCCTTGGCTTCATCCCCTGCTTCTTGGGGAAACTTGGGGATTATTTGGGGGACAAGACAAGGTGCAACCAGAGGTCACCTGGTGACAAAGATCTGTATTTAATCTATGATCAGGGTCAAGACTTAAGAGGCAACAAGGACGGGGCTTTCTGTGAGACCAGGGTTAGGGCTCAGCTGTGACCAAGATCAGTCTCTGGTGCAGTCGGTCCAGGCTCGGGGTGTCAGCATTATAAATGTATCTGTCGCGAGATGAAGCCAACCGAACCTTCCCTGCATGGTAAGTCCTGGCCTCAGCGCCCCCAACCCTGTTTCAGCATCTGGTGCCAGCTCTGCCCCTCATCCTTGGCACACTGCGCCCCCTCCACCCTCTCTGGCCCGCCTTTGTCCTGGAGCCCAGGGAAGGTACCTCAGTACTGCAATGACCAAGATGATCTTCTGCCGAGAGACAGTGGCCAGGAAGTTGGGCTCTTCCTGGAGGACCCACTGCGGAGGCAGAAGGGGGCCCAGTGGCAGCAGCACCGGGCCAGCCGTTGCGCTCCCTCGCCCTCTGGTGGTCCCCGAGCCCCTGAAGGCAGGGGTGCTGAGCATGCTACTCACCAGGAGACACTGGATGAGGTCTGCTGTCTGGGTGAACTTGTACCTGCGGATGCCATATTCCTGCCTGAGCACTCTGGTGAGCAGGACTACAGTGGAAAGGAAGCTGGCTTTGAGGATGTCATCCTACGGTACAAAGTGCCCAGATTAGGGGGCAGGGGATGGAAAGCCTGTCACACTACTAGGCTCGACCGGGGCTCCAGGTAATGCAAGCGCTCACACCAATCCATACAGCACACACTCACATGTAGCACACCTTCACGTACACAAAGCACACCCTCACACTCACATATCCACACAGCACACACTCATACACACAAATCCTCATACCAAACCTTAACACAGACCATACACAGAACATAACTTATACACAACATATGTATACCACACACACACACACACACACACACACACACACACACACAATCACACTCACACACACACCATACATAACTGGCCCAGGGCAGTGAGTTCTAGCCCCTGTACTGTGTCTCCTGGGTTGCTGGAGTCCCTGGAAGGAGACTTCAGAAATGTGAAAGGCACACCGCTTTGCCTGCCAGCCTCTCTGCCTGGTCCAGTTAGGCCCTGTCCCAGCCACCCGCAGCTAGGGCACTGGATTGAACACGAGGGATTAGAGATAAACATAGCGATAGGCAAGGGGAACCTGAGGTGCCCTCCCCTCCTGCCCCCAAGAGAGATGGCGAGGCTCACAGCACGGTTGCAGGAAAAGTAGTGCACCATCCGGGGGATGAGGCTGTCTACCCAGGGCAGGATCCGCTCCTTGGCATGTGCAGCCATCTGTCCGTAGCACAACAAGAAGGTGCTGCTGATCCATTTCCAGGGCAGGTTGGCATCTGGGGGCTGCGGGTAAGTGGGTGGCAGGGGCTGCTGGCCATCAGTCCCACCCCACACCAGGCCCTCACACCCCACACCAGCCTCCTGCCTAGGGAAGCCAAGCCCCTCAGCACAGACCCAGGTTGGGGCCACACCCCACAAGCCCCAGATCCCAGGCCTTGCTTCAGGAAAACCTCTCCAGCCAGTGCCCTCACACAGGCAGGTCTTCTGTTGCCTGCTCCTCCCTGTATGGCTACTGTGGCAGGGAGAAGCTAGGAAAGTGAAGCTGAGCATTCGTTGCCCTCCCGGGCCAGGCACACACAGGAAAAACTGAGGTCTGGGTTACACACAATGCCTACAGGCCTGGGCAGCCCCTGTGGCCATGGATCCTGTATCCAATACCAGCTCTCAACTCTGCCTGTGGAGTCTCAGGAACAGGGAAGTACAGAGAAGGGCTTCATCCAGCCTCGCCCTAAATCCCAGCCCTCTGGGACACCCTCCACCCCCCTTGTTAGGTGGGGCCTGTGCCGAGGTTGAGGCCCTCCCTGCCCTGCACTGCCCTCTGCAGAATGGCCACCAGGGGCCGCTCTACCTGTCCTTCAGAGGACAGGTTCCTCCATCTTGAGAACCAGGTGTTGCCCAGGTGTTCCAGCAGGGCCCACACCTCCTCCAGGTGTGTAGTAGATGCCAAGCCCACAGCCAGTGCAATGTCCTGTGGGGCAGGGCGCCAGAGAGCAGGTCCCCAGGTGACAGTGTGCGATGTTTCTGGTCCCTTAGGGCCCCCTCCTCCCCGTGGGAACGCCCTCTGCTGGGGTGGGGTGGGGCCCCAGGACGCAAGACTAGGAGAGCCAGGAACATCAAGGGCCCGATGCACCTCCCGCTGGTCGAAGTCCTGGTGAGACAGCTCCAGAAGGGAGGTGAGGTGACTCTTCACCAGCTCCGCATCTGTGCACTCACAAAGGAGCAGTCCAAAGAGGTGGAAAAGGAGGGCCTGCGTAGCAGGAGGGACGCTGGGACACGGGCTGGGGCCAGCTGGGGCTGACACCCACCCCAGGCCTGGGGCTAGTCTGCATGAAGCGCCCTGTGGGGTGGGGCTGGCAGCACAAGGGTAGGTAGAGATGGGGTCTGAGGCGAGGGGCTGAGGGTCCCGAGGGCTGCATTGACTCTACAGTTGGTGGTGACTCTGCAGCTGATGTCCAGGCCCTGTGCTGATTACCACAGCACCCTAAAACTTAGGCCTTCAGCTCTGGGCCCCTCGAGGTCCACCTTGAGCCTCACTTGGGCTGGGTCGTGTCACCTCCCACCCCCTTGGGGATCCCCGAGTGGCCCCAGCCTGGCACTAACCTTATTCATGTTCTGCTTGGGCTCCAGGTGCAGGGACTCCAGGAGCTTCTGCACATGGATGTCTGTGTCCATCCCATGCTGCTCCTCCAGGGGCTGTGGCAGAGCTCGGTGTCAGACCCTCACCCCCTGCCCCAGTACTGACATAGCCCAGTGCGGATGGGACTGACAGCTTGCCGGGGGAGGAAGGGGTCAGGGACGGGAACCTGAGAGAATCTGGTCACGCTGGCTTCTGCTAAAGCCCCAGCGGACCCCTGCCCTCAGACAGAGGCTGATACTTAATGTGGTCAACGAGCCAAGCTGATGTCTGGGAGTGCTCCTACCCTTTTGTGGTGCTGCTGTGCCAGCCCCAGGGCTTTGCGTAGCTATGTCCCTCTGACTGGATGCCTTTCCCTAAGCCCATCTAGCCCAGCTGTGTGTGCTCGCAGCAGGACTTCCATAAGCGCACAGGCCCTGCTGTTTCCTCAGCCCTCAGCCCTCTAACAATCTTGTCCCTCAGAATGGCCCAAAGGAGTAGCTACATTCTCCAGAGGCTAGAGGTAAGGATTGGAGCAGACATTTGGAAGAGAGGAGCCAGGACAGCCCTGCCCAACCCACTTCAGAATCTGCATGACCTCTGGTAGCATTTAGGCCTTCAAGCTGGTCTAGAGGGTCCCCCAACATTCACAGAGTACTGGGGTCCTGCAGTTCCCACCCTATGCCCAAAACCAGTTTGAGATCATAGGAGGCCCAAGGAGTGAGGCCTTGGATACAGAGCTCAATAGGAGGCTCTGGGTGGGCATGAGGTAGAGGGGACTAGACCCTGGGGCCTTGGGTGTCTGCCCAACCACCTGCTGATGTGGAGTAGCACCTGTACCCTGAATCCCTCAAACCTTCCAGCACTTCCTGGCAGAAGGTCAAGAGTTCTAATGCTATAAAGGTCTTCAGAGATCAACATTGGATGCTGGTAGTGACAGCCACGCAGCGAGCTTCCCTCAGGATCCTGTCAGGCTTGAGACTCTTCAGGGACCAGGACCACAAAGGGCTGTCACACAGTGTGGAATCACCCTAGGGCCTTACCCTGGTGTGCCCTTCCAGGTAGCGACAAATGATGTCCAATGCCTGGCCCTTCTGTGTAGCAGACATGGCCCTGATCCTGCTGAGCAGCTCTCTCTCCAGGGCCGAGGGATCACAGCAGCACTCTGTCTCATCTCCCCGGAGCTCCAAGTCCAAGCAGTCTGCAGAAGACTCAAAGCAGAGGGGGAACATGGGAGCCCATCAGGCCTTGTGATCTCAGGCCCCAAAACCGTCACAGGCTGCCCGGGAGACCCTGGGGGCCCCATGCCACCCAAGCACCTGTGCCTGCAGGGTCCCTGCTTGGATCTGCAGGAACCACTTTCCTTAACATGCATTTGGGGAAAATGGAAAGCCTAGCACATAGAGGCAGGTGTGTCGCAGAGCCTACCCACCAACCCAAGGCAGGGTCAGTGTGCAGCTGCACAGCCTGGAGGGACCCAGGCCACTCATGCCACAGCTGTGAACTTCACAGGAAAACGTGGACAGATCAGTGGGGCCTCAGGAAGTCACCCTGGACCCCACCCTCCTCTGACACCAAAATAGAGAGCAATCAGTCAAAATACTCAAGCTATAAAACTGAAACTGTAAACATAAGAAGAGGTTATGAATTTTGTCATCTCTAATCCAGGGTTGGGGGAGGGCTTTGTAAATATGAAGCAAAGACAGAAACCGAAGGAAACCAGCACTGACAGCCAGCAACACAGCTTCTTGGGTCTGACCCGCCCACTGACAACTGCAAGCAAAACTGAAAATTATTTGCATATGTTAAGATTAATACATGCAAATTGCATTCAGCCAACTGGGGTGGTGCACACCTGTGAGCCCAGAACTGGAGACTGAAGCAGGAGGATCACAGCCTGTATAACTTACAGAATTTAGGAGGCCCTGTCTCAAAGATAAAAAAAAATAATAAAATTAAAAGGCTTGTGGTTGCAGCTCAGTGCAAAAGCCCTGGTTTCAATTCCCATTATTAAAAAAAAAAAAAAAAAAGCCTCTTCCTGTCAGTCAGCCAAGAAAGCAGAGGATTCCCTCCGCAGCCTTATGCACAGGCAGGGGAACCTGTGGGCCAGCAATTAAGTGGAAACATGGCCCACAGTGCCGATAATGAAGGAAAGGAGCATGAGAAATGAGTTGTGCTTTTCCAACTGTCAGTGAGAGAACGATGGAAAAGAATGTGAAGAAACATCCTCGCACTTCGGCTGGTGTGGGGGAGGGCAGGGAATTCTTCCTCTGAAAAACTGGTTGGCAGCTGGTATCAAATCGGAGATAACAAAATCAGGTGCAGAGCCATACATATGATAGGTTCCTTTCTCACTATGGGATGGGCTCTGGGAGCGCTGGGACGCCGGCGCAGGAACTTCTGCAGTCCAAGGCTTCTACAGAGAGGCAGTGCTTTGCTACACAAAAGAAAAAATGACTGCAGAGCCAGCATCTTGTTGGAATGGACATAAAGTCAGTCTCTGGGTCGGGTATGGCTGTGTCACTTATTTGTCATCACCCATGGACAAACAGCCCTTGAGATTGGTGCCCTGTAGGTGTCACAGAGCTCTGGTGTCACCTCCATGGCCCTACGCCATCTGGTTCCAGCCTTGGCACTGTGTCTTCCTGGGAAGATGCTGGCTACAAGCTTCAGGGTGTTCTTGTCCTGGCTCTGTGCTGTGGCCAGGACCTGGGCCAGGTCTCAGGATTGTAGGATAAATGCTACCATCCCTGTGCTGTGGTCTGATTTGTTTTTACCTTTGGACATGATTGTGAATTTCTTAGGCGAACCGTCACGCATTTAGTCAGTCACCATTACACGGTATCCACACCACACCCAGCCTCACGACACCTGTGTGTGGGCACTTGTCAAAGGGGGGAGCCCAATCTCTCTCTTGTTCCTAGATAAGCAAGGTGAGGGGTCCCCAGTGCATGCTTGTCTCACCTCCTTCAGCATCATGGGCTATAGGCCACTGACCAGCAGGCTCAGGCTTGACTGCGGCATTAATGAATGGGGCTTTGCAGGCCGCGTGTGTGCTCTGTGAGGCAGTTGATCCAGGGCCTTAGAGGCCTGGCCTGGATGCACAGAGCTGAAGGAACAGAGTGGAAGCAGCTCCTGGCTGTGCTGGGAGCTGCTCTTTCACTCCTGTATGACTCGCTAATCCGAAAACAACTTACCTCTCATCTCCCAGTCAGACACTGGGGCCACTCCTCAGCACAGGTGTTATTTTGCAACAGCTGCCCCCCCCCAGTCCCCAAAGTCCTGAGGTTAAGATGAGTCAGCAGAGAGGTGGCTATGAAGTCTCTGCCCAACTGGGTGGCAGGAGGTGCCCAACCTGCCTTCCTAGGTACAGCCCTGGCTGGCTGTGGATCCCTGTCCCCTGGACCATGGCCCTGAAGGGGAACGAGATGGCAGGGACATTGAGACTGGCAGCAAACCTTGCCCCTGCACACAGGGTCACAGGCCTTCCAAAGGTGTACTACTCTAGTCCCTGCACTTGGCAATCAGAGACAGAAAAGACCACGTGCTCCTGTGCAGTGGGCTTCCCCCAACACACACAGCCTGTGATGTGCCCACCGGGTGTGCTCACCGAATGCCAGCTTCTGCTCCTCCCGAGAACACAGGTGCCTGAGCATTCTGAAGGGCCTATGGAAGCTACCACCACTGGGGACCGTATGGAGATGAGAACCTTGGGGTGACAGCGCCTGGCAGGGACAGACGGCTGTGTCTCTCACCCTGGCCGGAGCTAGAATCGGGCCATACAGAGTCACCCCACACTTGATCACCCCAAGCCTGACCAGCCCTCCAAAACCGAGCAGCCCTCGCCTCAGTCATCTAGGCCGTATCAGCCCCCAACTCCAGCTACCCCAGGCCTGAACAGCCCTAACCTGTCAGTGGAGGGGGCAGAGCCAGGGTGGGAGGTACCTGTGGTACCTGAGCTCAAGGCTGCTATCTAGCAGCCTTCAAGCCCAGGTACTGCCACCCTCAGTGGCACACAGCCTCTGGGCATCTCCTGGCCACAGCCTATGGGCAGTGCTGATGGCCAGAAGCCTCTGGACCCCATGGATGGCCAGTTACCTGCTCAGTGACCTGGGTGAGCTCCCAGGCTGTGCAGGATCTAAGGGCCTCTGCTGCCCTGGCCCTGACTGTCTGTCTCCTGTGCCATTAAACATGACTCAGCTCAGCACCATCTCCTGCGCACACTCTGAACCCCTGACTCAGCTCAGCACCATCTCCTGCGCACACTCTGAACCCCTGACCGTCTACCCCACCCCCACTTAGACACAGGCCTTGCCTACCGGGTGGGGATGGGAGGCCGGAAGGAGCCTGAATTCCTCACAGCCCTGGGTGATGCTGTCCCCTGCTCGGGCCTGTGCCCTGGAACAGGGGTTCATTTCCACACTCAGTCCTGTACACCCAAGCCCAGGCCCTGCTCGTCACAGCTACAGAAGCGGGAGGAGACAGTTTCCTCAGGAGGATGAACCCCTTTCATAGACTGGTCCCTGGAACTCTTTATGGAGGTGGCAAAAGCCTTTCTCTGTTGGCAGCATTCCAAGTCTGGGATATGAGTCCCTGGGGGAACGTTTCTTAGAGGGTTTCCTGGAGGAAGTGAGGTGGGCCTGGGGAATACCATGTCAGGGAGTCAGTCAGGTAGCAAACCAGCGAAGGCAGGGCTGGGCAACCAAGTCTAAAGAATAATTTCACAGAGAAGACAGATGTAGTCTGCGAAGCTCCTGGGCAGGAAGATCAGAAGGAGCCTCCAGGTCCGAAAAAACAAATACCACAGCCCTCCTGCCCCAGGAAACTCACTGCCTGGAACACGTTTCTTGTCCTGGTGTCCCCCACCCCTGCCTTGAGCCCTTCCATCTAGAACATCCTGTCTGGCAAGCACAATGACCTGAGTTCAATCCCGGGTTCCACAAAAAAAAAAAAAGAACTAGAACATTCTTCATCTCTGTCCAGGGCCATCCAGGCTCCTGCCTGGCTGCAGCTGCCTAGAGTAACCTGGAGATTAGGCCTTCGCTGATGGAGAAAGAAAGGCCATCCCAGTTCCACAGCCCATCCTGGCAGGTCCCCCAGCCACCCCAGTGCAGCTAGCCACAGCTCTCCCCTCCCCCAGAGAGGCCACAAGCCTTTTTTTCAGTTCTAGGGAGAAAGAAATGGGCCCATCCTTCCCACTGCCCTCCCTCCCTTTTGCTGTCTCAGCCTTGGCCCTGCCCTCCAATCCCACCCCAGTCCCAGCCCTGTTTTTACCCTGTCCCTGGGCGGCCTGCAGGATGGCCTTAGCTGGCCTCTGTGTGCTGATAGCTGCCTTCCCAACTTGCACCTCAGGTAGACGACTATGGCTCCAGTGGGCTCAAAGGCTTGGAAATGACCCCCTCCGGACTAGGCAGAGAGACCAAAGCCCTGTTGCCCACAGGTAAAGATTGCTTGAAAGATTATAAAGGACAAGAGAGAGAGCTGAGAAGACAAACACAGAGGCCCTCGCGGATTCCCACCCGGGGCATGGCTGTTGGGCTGGGAATCCCTTGTCTAGGAACTCAATCTCTGGAAAAATTCATAAAAGACTAAAATTTCACTACTGCAGGATTCTTCCAAGGTTTAAAATAGCCACACATGCTTAAAAAGAGAGAAGAATGGGCAGCCTAGAGATTCACTTTCTCAAGATTATTAGATGACGTGGAGGTTGCTTAGATCCAAAGGAAAGAAAAGCCACTCAATTCTAATTTAAAATGCAGTTATCTCAGGGCCTCGGGATTTCAGGCAATTTTGCTTTCTGAATCCTTTTTGAAATTTGTCAACATTGTCTGCAGCGGGAATGAGTTGCTCTTATAAGAAAAAAAAATGCTTACTCAAAACCAAAAAGGAGGTGAATTTTTTTTAAAAAGACAGACTGTCATACACAGCCTTGGCTCTGTGGAGGGGCAGCGGCCCAGCAGGGAGCTGGACACAGGAGCTTGCTTGGCCTGGGGCTCTGCCCAGGCCCGAGATCCTGAGTCTGGTGGCCTTGAGGAGGAGACAAGAAGAGCGCAGGCCTTCTAGGGCATTTGTTGCCTTGTCAGGAGGGGCTACCTGAGGTGGGGCCACCTGAGGGCCACCAGGTGCAGCCCCAGGGTAGATTCACTGAGGACTTCGGTCTCTGATTCCATCTTCTGTGGCTATGCCAACATCCAAGGAGGATTTAAAGAAAATGGCCTAGGCAATGGACAGCAGGGTGCCTCCCAGAACTCTGAAATCTGCATGGGGCTCAAGGAGGGTGTCCCCAGAAACAGTGGTGTCTCAGCATGGTCACTCAGCCTTTGTTTCTGTGTCCAGGAATCAGTGGTCAGGAGAATAACTAGACCCAACCAGTTAGTCCTGTCCACCTATCCATCCCTGTGCAGCAATTTGTTGGGATTCCCTGAATGTTACCTGTGGATTTAGGGAGACCTCTGGCTATGAAGCTGATGCTAGAAGAAAGTAAGAAGAAACTGACTCCACCATGGCTGGGGAGGAACCCAGAAGGAAGAGGGGGAAAGGGTCCTTCTTAGGGCACAGTGTGTTTATGTGTCTCAGAAAGCCTCCTCACCACCAGTTGCCCTGGAGAAGCATTTTGAGAGGATTGCTGGGCCCCCACCCATGGTGGGGTTTGGTACACAGGGAGTAGACCTGGGTACTTCAAGGGGGTCAGTCCCAAGACCAAGTTGCTCAGCCTACCCCAGGCCACCTCAACATTTGGGCGGTAAGGTGGGGTGGGGACAGGTACCTTCCCTACAAATGACCTCTCTCAACCCTCTCTCCACGACTCGGTGGAACTGTGTCCCAGGAAGGCCGATCAGAGGCCCTGGGGAGTCCTGAGGAACCTGGTCCCAACAGCCACTGCCTGAAAGTTGGAGGTAGTTCATCCCTGAGAATTCTGTCCTCAACTGACGCAGCAGGCAGTTGGGGCCATTCCCCAGCACATGGGCTCACAAGCAGAATGCTCTAGTGACAGTAGTGCCAGTCACAGGTTTGAAAGTCAGGGTCTTGTCAGCTGAGAAGGTGAACCAGAAAGAGCCGGTGCCAGGGCCCCCCTTCTAAGACCTTTGCCACCCTGACTGACAGCCACAGGGGAGGACGCACCCCTGGAGTAGGGCCTCAGCTACCAGAAGCCCAGCCATCTGCACTCATCGCACTGGTCTAGGCTTGTTGGACCACCAGGTATGTCCTCCTATGTCCCCAAGTCCCCAGCTCTGTTGCTGAGGCAGAGATCAGGACATGACAAATTACAGCTAGACAACCAGGTGTGACCCGTCAATCATGAAGAACTGTCAAATCCCGGTTGAGATGCAGGAGCAAAGCAGCTCCGAAGCCCTGCAAGGCACAGCCTGAATCTGATGTCAAAAGAAGATAGAAAAGTTATAGCAGCCATTGACTTTGCCAGTTCTAACCTCATTCTTGAAGTGGCCTGCCTGCATACAAAATGTATCTTTTCTTTTCTTTTTCTTCTTTCTTTCAATAAAAGTTGAATGCTATGTTCATCAGTTGTCTGAATAGGACAAGAGCTGGGAACCGCTGGATTTCATACTGTCTGCCAACACTGCTAGCCAGGCCGCCCAGACCAGGTTCAAGACAGTCTGACATCTGGAGAGGCAAAGAATATAGTCATCCAGATGCCCTTGGGGCCCAGGCATGTCCCCGGGGGCTCCTGACATCTTGGACAATTCTTGTCTTGGATTCAGGACTAACCGGTTGGAGGGCCATGGCTGAGCCAGCTGCCACCTTCTGAGCTGAAGATCTCCATCCCCACCCTCTCTAGAGACACTTAGGTGACAGACTGGGTACTGGCTGGGTACTGGTTGGTGAGAGGCCAGCTGCCTGGCGAACCCACAGCCCCTGAGTCCTCGAGGCACTGCCACCATAGGACCCCAGGAACTGACCCCAGCGTAGGACCTGGCCACCTACAGGACACAGCTCATGTCTGAATGCTTTAAGATCAGGTGGGCTCACCTGTGACTGGATCTTCATTGCTTATTTTTAAGATTTTCTCCCAAGGAGCCCTGGAGGAGCCTTTCCAGGGGCAGCTGGAAAGCAGCCTTGGGGTGGGGAGAGAATTCCCATGGGCAGTGGCTTCTCTGAAATTTGAGGTGAGAAAACTCAGGAGCTTCTGCCCTCTGGGCAGAGATCTTCCTGTAGTTAATGCCAGAGTCCCCCTGGCCAAGCTGGCACCAGAGGGTGTGCAGAGGAAGCCAAGAAGAATGAGCAGTGTGTGGAGGGATGGACCTCTGAGGGAGCCCACAGGAAGGTACAGTGGGGTCACCCACCTCCATACTGTCCCAGAGAGATGGGCCGGCTCTGAAGAGAACAGGGGTCTGGACACAGCCATGCCTTCATGTCCCTGTAAAACAGGGACAGGCCTCCACCTCAACCCAGGGCCCAGATGCTTGCATTACCAAGGAGCATGGCTCTACTGGGTCACTGGCGTTGCTCCTTGTGGGGGATTGTGAAATCTGCTTCATAAGATACATTTGTCCCAGAGCTCAGAGGTCCACATGGGAGACAGTCTGCACTCCACTTACCCAGGGTCCCCTTCACCTGACAGCATCTCTTGGCTGAGCAGAAAAGCCCTGTCCTGTGTCCTGGAATGGGCAGATCCTAGGGAGTGTGAAGAACCACCCCCAACTTCTTGCTTCACACAGGAACCCCAGGAAGGGGTTTGCTCCACCCAGTCTCCATGCTGCCCTTATGTGAGGCTGATTGGCATTTGACCCAGCTTCCCTTGCGGCTCCTCATGCGAGCCAAGGCCAAAGGAGCAGCGTGGGTAGTAGCAAGGGCCAGGACTTCTAGCCAGATCCTAGGCCCGTAGGCTGGGGCTGCCTCTGCCTCCAGGTCCCCTGTGGCCCTGGCTCCTTACCCAGCTGCCCCAGCTGACTCACTCATTTGTTCTGCATAGAATAGTGGAGCACCCAGACTGAGAGAGAGCAACAAGGCATTCGTCATCACAGGGGCCAGAAGATTAGAGGGGGCACAGATTGGCAAGCACACAGCCTCTCCCAAGGCCACATGACCAGCAGTCATGGAGTATCTGTTGGGAGAGTTGTGGCAGACCTGGCAGGGGAAGGGGCACTGGAGCTGAGGCTTGAAACACAGTTTTCTAAGCAATGGGGAAGAGT